AGAGTAAGTTTCCTGGCGATCTAAAACTTACGTTGGGTCAGCGGTTAATTTTGAAGTAAATCATAAACCTTTTCTCTTTAGTGATAAAAAAAAACAAAATTTTGAAACAATTTTACCTCGAAACCTTCGGCGGCGAATTTTTTTCTTTAGTATATTTTTTTTATTTAATTTTCTTCTAATTGTTAGATTACATTGTAGTAAAAAGAAAAATATTTATATTTTTAGTTTATTTTAATTTTTAGAAACTTATTTAACTGCACTTTTTATTTTTTTAATATTTTATTGTTATGAAAAGAAAAACATATAATTCCATTTTTTCTTTTTTTAATTAAATATTTTTTATTTTTATATTTAAATTTCTTTCTGTTCCTAAATTTTATTGTTTTAAGAAGAAAACACATTTTTTTGTTTATGGGAACTAATTTTTAGGATCTTATTTTACTTTTTCATCCTATTTTTTCGTATATTTAATTTAATTTTCTCTTTATTTTTAGATTTCTTTTTAAAAATAAGACTATTTTTTTAAATTTCATTTAGTTTTTAATTACAATATTTTTCTTTTTTGATTTAATTTTTTTCTTTCTGTAACTAAATTTTCTATTAATTTTTAGATTTTGTTGTTTTTCAAAAAAAATATAAAAATATATTTTTTAATTTCGTTTAATTCTTAAGAATATTTTTATTTATTTTTGCTTTATTTGCCTTTTATTTATTTTTCCTTTTTTAATTTAAATTTCTCTTATTTATTAGATTTTTTGTTTAAATATATATATACATATATATATTACATGTACATATGTAATGCGAACATCTTTCATAATCTTTCAATTAGTCTTTCGAGAGACAGTAGAGAGCTTTCAAGATAGTTGCCAGAATTGCCAATTTTCTTACGAAATACTTCTGTGATAAGTTGAAAGACAGTTACCAGAATTGCCTTGTAAAATAAATCGATACAAATATTAAAAAAAAAATAAAATTTAACACTGAAACCAAAACCTCCATATATTTTTTCAAAAGGTAAAGAGGCTAGCCTCCACTCCTCTCTTGAAGACATGCTTAAGTATTTCAGGCTGAGATGTTTGTAAGAAGATGGACTACAAAGGGGGGAAAAGATATACGAATATTTAAAGTGACTGCTAAGCTAAACTCAATTCATTGGACAGCCCTCTAACTACTTCCGAACTAGTTCGGCAATGCCAGTCTCAGGCGCCGGGTCATACCGGAGTACCTGATAATGTAGCATTTGGGCAAGAGGTCAGGAGTTCGTTGTCCTCAATCTCAGTAATCTTACAAGGCATTTGTTTTCATGGAGTTGATCTGACAGCAGACAACTTGAAGGATTGAGCGGTCACTTTTCGTGGCACAAACACTTGGAATGATGACACACATTCCAACCTTATTGGCTCATCTTATCTTGGAGAAGATGAGTCAGCGGGGTATTTTTTTTGCTTCTGCCTCGCCACATCACGTTATACTTTGAGTATATACGCTTTTTAAGATGGATTTTATATTGTACATGCACATTAGGGTAGTCCAAACAAAGTAAAGTCTGAATTCTAATGCTCCATTCCTAGGATTGTTCTACATATATATAGCGAAAAAAACGATAACCAATTGTACAATAAACCATTTTTAATTTTAATTATTTTGTATGGGTCCCCAAAAATCCTCAAAAAATGCAATGTGGGGACCCATAAAAATAGTTATTAAAAAATGGCTGAATAAACAATTCGATATTATTTTTTGAAATCTACTGAAAAGAAACAGTTTGACGGTTGAAAAGTGTTGATTTTCAAAGATTACACCATTGCTAAGTACATAAATTGTCGGTCAAAACGTTACTTCTCGGCGAAGGGAAAAGTGTGAGCTCAAATAATTTTTAAAAGTGATTTGGCATGGGGCTGATGTGTGATATTTGGAAATTTATTTATAAAACTTTAACTTTAAATAAATACAAGTAAGAGCAGCGCTGTCTTCGGCTATGCCGAAGGCTTCATACCTTTCATGAACATCTGCAAATTTTAGTTTGACAGATTACTGACTTTGAATACATCTGCATACATCGATAGAGGAGTTACATACTTATATAAAAAATCGCATCTAAACAATCAGAGGTATGGAAGATATACTTTATATGACACCAATCTAAGTGATTTTCACTGCTATGTGATCGGTATGTAAACCGGTAACACAATTTATTGGGTTTAGTTTC